TGCTTAGGAGTCCCGCTGAGGACATTCCCCTTTTTTTATCCTAGCCTTAGGATTAGGAGTCTCCGTACTCCATTTAAGTTCCCCTCCGTGAAATACTTATTTCAACCCTTTTAACTAAACCTCATAACGTAAAAATAGGAGTCCTTGTACTCCAAAATAAGCGCTTCCCTATGAACGTTTATTTTCCCCCAGGAACCTTGACCACAGTCAAGAAGTTCCTCATCTCCCTTTATAAGGGGAACTACGAATACTCTGATTCCATCCCCTACCCAGGATACGTAGGCACAAGATGCGAGTCTTGACGAGTATACTTAGGACTAACCCTTTAGGTCTTTCTCTTCACCCCTAACCCTTAGCATAACCTTAAGCAGATAACCTTAGCAATAAGCAAACATTTAAAACAAGAGGTTCCTGTAGAGTACTACAGAGGTTTAGGATGCTAATACCTTCCCTAAGCTTAACCAACCCTCAAACCTTAGATCTCTCCCCGCATCGTGTTTACGATGCAAAATAGGTTTTTCCTTCCTTTAACCTTTCTGTCGGATAAATCAAAGACCGGTTGTAAATGAATTAAGATTCAAGTTAATCAATAGCTTGACATCAAAATTTCACCGCAACAGAATCACAATCTGGGATGTGGCTCTCGTGAAAACCCAACACGCAAAATGCAGGCATCACAACCACCCACGTTCTATCATATGTGTATTCTCAAGCCCGGTGATAGAGCTTATCTCGCCAATAATATCTACCCATCCCAACAATAGCAGAATATAACAGATATCCATAATATGCAGCATATGAATATTTAAAGCAGTAAAGAAATGCAGTGAATAACATAAAGATAAAGCAAGTAAAGCATAAAATAATAAACATCCAAACAAATAAGAAAGCAAACAAAACTAGGCGAGACCCCAACTTGCAAGTGTAAGGACTCCCCAGCAGAGTCGCCAGCGGAAGCTAGTGGAATTATACTTGAGCGAATCACACACTCAAAGATACAACAGAGTCGTCACCAAACTTTATTTAGTCCCAAAGGACAAGGAAAATATCGATAAAACCCAAAGGGAAGAGAAACGAGTAAGGGGGTCGGTTATGCGAAAGGAAGCTACTAGCACCTTACGCATCCGTCCTACTCGACGAGAACTATTTTGCTTGCTTATAGGCTTGGATGAGTTATCTATCTAAAGGCTTCTAGCTAAAGAGAGATGATACGAGAGAAAAGAAGAAGAAAGAAAGAAATAATTGCTCGCAGAGGATTGAGGCCCTCGTGCCTACGTATCCTCATAGTGAAATGAGGAATTTAGAGCTCCATAGTTAATGGAACTAAGAAAGAGAGAAAAAAGGGTGGAAGAAGGTGGCTCGCCAAGATTTTGCAATCTCGTGCCTACGTACCCTCATAGTGCAATGAGGAAGTCAGAGCCTACGTAGTTCGGAGAACTAGGACAGAGAAAGAAAAGGAAACATAGACGATGTCAAAACCAAGATCAAAAAGGAGAAAGCAAAACCCAACTGGGGATGCAAGAGAAGCGGTGTCAAAACCAAGAAAGAAAGGCAAAGGAAAACTCTGTTGAAGAACACGTAAGAGAAGTGATAACTCCACTAGGGATAAAACAAAAGAACAATGTCGAGACCAGGAGAATAAAGGATAAGAATCAAGGTAAATGTAAGATCTACAGGGGACTCAGTGCATTAACTGACAGACATTGATTAACCAAAAAAAGATAAGAGCAAAACCCTGTGGGGAAGGCAAAATGTTGATATCAACAGACAGACTATGATGAACCATAATGAAAGAGAGTATTGAACCGAAGGAAGGTGTTTGATTCTCTGGAGAACCTGGTGTGTTAATTGATAAATAGTTAACCGAAAAGAGAAAGAAGTTGGTTTTGACCAATAGACGATGATCAACAAAAAAGACGGGTGTGGAACCAAGCAAATGTTGTGACCCAAAGGACAGGCGTGGAACTAAGCAAAGGTTGTGACTCAAAGAAATTTGGTACACAGACTAAACAAGTAGTGCCTGACTGAAGGAAAGGGTATCTGAACCAAACAAAGCTACTAACTCAAAGGTTCAAGTGTTTGAACCAAAGAAAGGTTGCTAACTACAGGGAATCTCATTTTTAACAGACGAACTGTGATTAACCGAAAATAATGAGTGATGAACTAAGAGAATATGGTTAACTCGAGAAAGATTAGTTTTAACAGGCGGGTTGTGATTAACGAAAGAACAAGTGATTAACCCACAAAAGACTCAGTATGTTAACAGACGGACTGTGATTAACTGAGGAAAAGAGAAAATTGGTGTTTTAACTGACAAGCTGTGATTAACCAAACAAGAAGGGAGATAACCAAAAGAAGGTTGCGAACTCCGCTAGGGACTCGGTATCTACAGCCAGGTTGCGCTTAACCGAATAAAAAGGATTAACTTTGCTGGGGAAGAAGAGAATTTAGCTTTAACCAAGGAACGATAAACTAGCCAAAGAAAGGATTGATTACAAACCTTATAGGGAAATCAAAGAATAGATTGGCCAAAAGAGAAAGGAGTGTTGAATCAAAAGGAGAAAGTTAATCCAAGAGACAAATGATTTGGGTGCAAGTGATCAAAGATCGACTCGATAGGGAAGAAGAAGACGCTACAGTAAGGAGATAGAGATGACTATTCCAGGCACAAGGTCATTCGTCCCCTATCCAAAATAGCTAGAATGAGTGTATTTTCCACTCTCATTCCTTCTCTAACACTAAAGTGTAGTACGACAAACGAAACTGACAGAGTAACAACGCAAACTTGTACAATGCTCCAATGTGTTATAAATCTTCAACTTCGCGGGAGAAAGAGAGAACAATGCTCCAAAATATCGAAAAGAGAAGAAAGAGGGAAGATTAACTAATCAAAACAAAGTTTCGATTAATTAATTGAAGGGCAATGATGTGCTAGCAATTTTCCAAAAGAGATGAAAAATCATTAAAGCAAAATGGTGAATTATTGATATACAAGATTAAACTCATTACTTGAAGAACAAACTTAATGCAAACATGAATGAAAGTGCAAAACAATACCAAATATTATGTAGCATGTGGTCAAAGAATGCAAGAATTAACATGATCATACAATGCCAAAAATGTGAACAAATACGTATTCGATAAAATCGAGCATCGGAAAGTTTACAAGCATGCTTCAAACAGAAGTTAAATGACTCATAAAACATCCATAAAAATCAAACAAATCAATCTATGAGAGTTGAATAAGAAAAGAATGTCAAACACACTTGAAAAAGCACAAAAATAACATTCTGGAGCAGGGTTAATCGATTAACCATTTGTTAGTGGAAAGTGGTTAATCGATTAACCTTTGAAAAAAGGCAGCTTTTTGCTAAAAAACACAGTGTTAATCGATTAACACTTTTGCACTGGAAAAGTGTTAATCGATTACCACTGAAGCAGTGGCTGAAAATTGATTTTTTCAAAAGCACTTTTGGTCACTTATGATTTGTGCAATCACTCACATGCTAGGGCAAACATTTATGCACGAAATTCAAGTCCAAAAATAACAAATAATCATCAATTGAATCAATTAACTCATCAAGATCAAGGATCAAACAATGGCATAATTAATTCGCACACAAAAATTATCGAAACTACATCGCAAACGGTACGAAAATTACCGAAACAATAAAATGAGTGAGAAATTCTAACCTACAAGGAGGAGGATTGCCTTGGATATTGTTGAAAGTGAATTGTGATGAAGATAATCAAAGAAAACCAGAGGAATATTTACTTGTAGCCGAATCGTATTGAAACCGAGCAAAATGCGACGAAATATCCAAATACGAATTTGCACCAAAGAAACTTAAGATAATCACTTGATTTGAATTAAAAACCAATAAAACTCCAAAAAACTAAGTAGAATTGCAAGATGATGGTGGTTAAGCTCAAGAGAAAAGCACTTCCACTGTGGAAGTTACTACTCTTGAATAACGAATTTGAGCTCTAGTGTGGTTTTTGGGAAGAAGATGAAGATCAATGTGAAGAAGTTGCAGAAAATCCCAAGAGAAATGAGAAAGTGAAGAATGAAAGTTGAGAGAATGATCAAGGGTCCTTTGTGAAACAATGGAGCTTTATTTATATAGAGTTTTGCTTTGGAGTTGCTATGTTTGGAGTGTGCTTTGGAACTAGCCTTGGAGTTAGTTGGACTCAACTCACCGAGTTGGAAGTTAATCAGTTAGTTAGGTAGTTGACTCGGTAGCAATTCTAATGCAAGTCCAAATCAAAGGGTTCTCATGCTTGCAAATGAAGTTACATGGTAGTCTCCACTCAAATTGATGTATTGGAATAAATATCTTAAAGTGTTTAGAAAGGTCTTGAAATGTCTAGAGATGTCTAGAATATTCCACACAATGTTAGAACAAGTAGACCTCATAATAGTAAAAGAAAAGTTGTTGTCCTAAAAATGCAGCAGAATCTACATTTTTTACAAGGGTTAATCGATTAACCCATTTGCACTAGCAAATGGTTAATCGATTAACCAGACCAAAATTTGCCCAATTTATTTGCAAAAAGGTGCTATGGCCATGACTTCGATTTTCGACCTCTTGCTTTGATGAGTAGGCATAAAAACTATTGTTTATTGCTTGTGATGTCTTTGTGAGAATATGATTAATCGAGTTTGAAAAACCTGAATATTTATGCAATAAAAACCACAGAGAAAAAGCGTGAATGCGTATGTCAGCGATACGAATATACACGCTTACCCAAAAGGCAAAAATAAAAGTCAAATTTTAAATTACAACAATATCATATAAAAATACCATCTTTACGTGGAAATATAAAAATGAATCTGAATAATTGAATTTTAAAATAAAATTGTAGAAATTAGATGTGATTCTCGTTTTTTCTTTTATGGTATTTTGTATTTTGTAATAGAATGAACGGGTCAATCTTCTAGTTCCTCGAGGAGAAAAGAGCGTGTTTTGATTTCTAGGGTTTTCAAACGAGAGAAGAAAATGAGCGAATTTGCAGAGACTCACAAGCGCGAACCTGATTCAGAAAACAAGGACGAAGTTTCTGCATCGAAGAAGTCAAGGGTTGAATCTTCGGAAGATAATGCCTCAAAGGAAGTATCTTTCCGCATTGAAGCAGACGCGGCGGAGGATAAAGGATTGAGACAAACAATGGAGGATGAATGGGTTGTTCTTCTCGATGCAGCTCGAGATTACCCTGGGAGTTTGAGGTTTTCATTTCTTAAATAATTCTTCATTGTTATTTGTCCAATATTTGTTTAGGTATTCAAATGGTATATTGCAATGAGAGGAACTTGTATGTGCACTAAATGCTTGATTGAATTTTTGCAATGTTATATAATTTGTTAATGGTAATGAGCTATGTAGCACCGACACCTTTGACAAGACGCCTCCCAGTCGATGTCCGATACGTGTCGATGTCGGATGCATGTACTAATTACATTTAATTTACTCATTTTTCCAAATTATTATGCGGTGACGATGTAGGATGCATGTACTAATTACATTTAATTTACTCATTTTTCCAAATTATTATAGGTGTCACCGCATCAGTGTCGGGTCGTATGTCGGTGCTTCATAGATAGAAAACATGTTTGGATTGAGTTGTTTGAGCTTATATACTACCATAAAGATTGTGACACTCTTTGTTTGAGAGACTTTATCAAAACAACTTATGCCATTATATATATATATATATATATATATATATATATATATATATATATATATATATATATATATATATATATATATATATATATATATATATATATATATATATTTAATCTAGTTTTATGAATTCTTCACGATATATAAACAGTTTAAATGTAGTTTATCTTTTGTTATAAATACAGCTTATGCGAGCCTATTCATAAGTGCCTGTTTTGATAAGCACCTGTGCTATAAGTTGCAAATAAGGCGGTGTTTATCCAAACATATCCAGAATGCATGTTTTTTTTAGCTGAACAACTTAATCAATGTTACCTGGGTGTTTGAAGCTAGTATATGGCACTGGCATTTCAGATATGTGTGTCTCGGTATCCAACACACATTCTTTCATGTATAACTGATACTTACACATTGTGTTCACATAAAATCATTCCATTTCCTCAAATTTTTTGGGTGTCTGTATGCTATATTGTCAATAGAGTGCTATAGCAGAATAGTAGCTGAATAGCATAGCGGGGGAATAGTAGCTGAATAGCATAGCGGGTGTAGGGTTTGACACAATGCTTTTGGCCCGTGAACTGCTGTCATCAATAGCAGGTAGCAGCCCCAAATTGCTAGTATAAATCAGACCCTTTTAAGAGTAAAATTATGTTATTTTTTCTGTTATGTTCTTGCGCACAATTAATTGTTTTGTTCTTCCTAATTTTGGTTCAGTCCTGTTATGTTTTATTTATTTATTTTTTTAATATTTTTTTTCTGTTTAAGTTTTATTGTTGTGTACTTTATGTTTAAGTTTTATTGTTGTGTACTTTATGTTTACTTTGCACATTGATTTTTAGTCTTTGTGTTAAGAGTTCCACATCAGATAATATATGGTATGAACATGTCTCTATAAGTGGAGACAATTCTCACCTTACCAACCGGTTCTGTAGGGTTGAGTTAGACTTAAAACCACGTTTCTTAACATGGTATTAAGAGCTTCATTTAAGATCCGGTGGGTCATCTTCTGTGGTTTCCGCTATCGGACCATCCATCATTTATTTCCACGCTTCAGTTGTCTAGTCTTGAGCGTGAGGGAGTGTGTTAAGAGTCCCACATCGGATAATATATGACATGAACATGTCTTTATAAGTGAGGGCAATTCTCACCTTACCAACCGGTTTTGTAGGGTTGAGTTAGGCCTAAAACCACATTTCTTAACATGGTATCAATAACCTCGTTTAAGATCCAGTGGGCCACCTTCTATGGTTTCCGCTATCGGGCCACCCGTCATTTATTTCCACGCTTTAGTTGTCTAGTCCTGAGCGTGAGAGTGTGTGTTAAAAGTGTCACATCGAATAATATATGACATGAACATGTCTTTATAAGTGGGGGCAATTCTCACCTTACCAACCGGTTTTGTAGGTTGAGTTAGGCCCAAAACCACATTTCTTAGCACGCAATAGCTGTTATTCTGCTATCAGCTATACCGGTATAGCATTTTAGAGGGTCAGTGCTACACACTGCTATGTGGGATTATCAATATAGATAGATGTCTTGTGGGGTGCTTGTGTCAAATTATTTTAGGTGTTTGTGTCATGTGCGTACCGTGTCCGTGTCGGTGCGTTATAGATAACTTATATTAGGAGTTTATTTAGATTTCCATGACATAAGAACTTACTTTAAGTATTTTGAAGGACTTGTTTAATGCCTTACGAGTTATTACATGCACAAGAGCTGTTTTCAGCTTATTTTAATAACCTCTCCAAGTTAGCTTATGAAAATTATTTATGATGAGGTCCCACATCCTCCCTTTGAATCCTATACACTCAAATACTAATTTTCACTGCCAAAACAATTACTGAGAACTGAATGTTAATAGCTTTTCAGCAATGCAAATAACATGTTGAATTCAAGCACTTATAACATAAACTTTCTTCTGATAAGTGCTTTTTATTGAACAAACTCTTAATTAAGTTGTTTATCCTGACAACTCCTAACAACTCTACAAAATTGACTAAAGTGAAACGATATGTGTGCTTCTGGAGTTATTTTTTAGTACATTGATTGGTAATACTAAATATGTGTTCGTGATATTCAGATGTGCTCACTTTGCAATTTATGACGGACATGGGGGCCGGTTAGCTGCAGAGTATGCTCAAAAGCATTTACATGGAAATGTTCTTGCAGCAGGATTACCACGTGAGTTGGTGTGTTTGCTTGGTCTAATTTCATGTATATTTTAGTTTTTATCAGTTAAACTCTTAAGGCTATGGCATACTGAAAAGTTTTTTGCTTTCATATTATGTCATTATGTTTCATTATTGGTTTGTTATCAATTTTCTTGTTAGGTCCTTTTTTAAAATCAGTTAAAGAGAACAGGCAACCATTCTTGAGAGAGTATTAGACTTATTTATGGGAACTTAAACTTATTTATCTTTTAACTGGCCAATGCATCTAGAAATAAGACGTAAACCAATTGAGTGACTGATTATAGTAGTTATATATATATATATGCTTGGTAATGTTATAATGCTGCCAGGTTTTGTTTACACGAGCCATCAATGTTAGAGTCTATGCATCAACACCATGATCGACTCAATTGATCTTTTTCTTTGAAAAAATGATTGGGTTGGATATCTTAAATTCTAAGTCAGTGCTGTCAAATAGCGGCGCTCTAGAGCTATAGCATAGTGGAATTTGAACAAATTGCTGTTCATCCGTGATATGCTATTTAATATGAAGTGTTGTTAAATAGCAGCTAAAGAAGAGCTATAGTACCATATGCAGAATTTGAACAAACAACTGATTTCTGCGGCCTGGGATTGCTACCACTGTTCTGAATGTTGTATGTTAAATAAAAGAAACCCAAAACCCCATTTTATTATAGATAAAAAAGATGACCTATCATATGAAAAATGAACTTTCACTGCCTTCTCTGAAGATTTGATGTGAACTTATTTTATTGATCTCATTTGTCTCACACTCTTTTTCTTATATTTTCCTTCTCATATTTTCTCTTGACTGTGCTGTGTTTCAGTTGGATGTAAAGACTGCTAAAAGATCTATACTTGATGGTAAGCATCATGTGGACCATTTCTTTACTGTCTCCCCCCTTTTTGTTAGCTGCCTAATGGAATCTTTTGTTTTAACAGTTCTATTCTTTATTTTTTTGATGTAGAATTTTCATTTCATGTTTTCTGATTTAGGTTTTCGTAAAACTGATGAGTCTCTTCTTCAAGCAAGTGCTGAAGGTACAATTCAAAAGCTTTGGATTTGTTGATATTCTAACACACGGCTAAATTGAATTTGATTTTGTTGCTCATCTGGTTGCTTTCCTTTCCCCCCCTGCTTTTGGTAACAATGTAGAAACACATGTTACGGGATTTTTTCACATTTCTTTGTGCTGATTTAGCATTCAGATTGAATGCAAGTTGTTGGCTTTTATTTGAGTTTTGATGTCATTTCTTTTTTTCTGAAGTCTAACTACTTTTTCCAGGAGGATGGCAGGATGGTGCTACAGCTGTATGTGTTTGGGTATTGGGTCAAAAAGTAAGTTTGTGGTTACTTATTTTAATTATCTTGAACTATTCAAGTAGTCTGTGCTGCTTGCTTTAGATGCTTCAGGAATAACTTCTGAGTTAGGCCATATATGCAAATACATCTCATTATAAGTGTCATTTCAGCAGTGTGTGGTTCTTAAGAAAGTGATTAACTGTGTTGATTTTAATGATAAAATGAATTTTTGTTACCAAACACTTTTGTTAATTATAGTGACTGGAGTAGTTAGGTGTGTTCAGAACTTCAGATACAATAAATAAAGGCACTCCAATATTAGTGGGAAAAATGATTAATATTTCAGTGGTATTGTAAAGTGAAAATTAATTTGAGACAGATATTTTGTCGGTAAATCTTGCCACAATTGGGCTAAATTATGAGCCGTTCACTTTCTTGATGATTTTTTCATTTGCTTTTGGTTTGTTTCACTGGTCTCCCATAACAGTTAACAGAGATAACATTTTGACTTTTTGTGTTTGCCAAATTCCTGTTAGGTTTTTGTCGCAAATGTAGGAGATGCCAAAGCAGTTTTAGCTCGGTCAGTTGTATCTGTTGGATCCCAAGATAACTCAGACAAAGTCCATGCTCTCAAGGCCATTGTTTTGACGAGAGAACACAAACCTATATTCCCACAGGAGCGTTCACGCATTCAGAAGGTTTAAAATGCATCAATGTTGGTTCATTATATCGCCAATTTCTTTTACCAATACTTTTACTTGACGTTTCTTTATGCAGTCAGTTAACAAATAAGACCCTGATTTCCTGCTATCCATTAACGTTTCCATTCTCTACTCTACACTCTCTGTACACATGTTTTCGATTTTCATTATTGAGCTAAATGAAACAGTTTGAGATTAAGCTATCCACACATATTATGCCTTTTTTCCATATCCATCACTTTGTGTTGCCAACAGCTTGACCAACTCAAGTCCCAGCGGGACCAGGAAGTACCCGAAGTATTCATTTTTTTGTGATGCGTTTCATTTTAAAATTGGTGACTTTAGAGTGAAATTATTACTATCTATATATGTTTATATTTACTGTTGGAGTTGTCACCTCAGTTAGTTTTCTAGCCTGATATATTCTAGGCTGGTGGTGTTGTGAGCTCAAATGGACGATTACAAGGGCGTCTTGAAGTATCTAGGGCTTTTGGAGATCGGCAGTTCAAAAAGGTTTGTCTATCAACTTTTGGAAATGGTCATTCGTTGGTTTTTTAGTCAGCAAAAGAAAATGTTTTGAATAGTGGTTATAGTAGTGCTATAGCTCTATAATGCAGCGAGTTTGAATAAACTGCTAATTTTCCACATTGTGCTATTTAATACACCATGTTGTCAAATCATGGATATAGTACTGCCGCATAGTAGACTTTTAACAAACTAACTGCTATTTTCTGCGATCCACGGCTGACAATACTGGCTATGTCCAAAAGAGCATTTGTAGACCTACAAGTTTTTTGTAATTCTGAGGAATAATACATCATGCAGGTGGGTCTTGTTGCGACCCCAGATATCCATTCATTTGACCTTACTGATAGAGATCATTTCATCATTCTTGGTTGCGATGGATTGTGGGGGGTATGTTCTTTTCTTATCCATAGATTGGACCATAACTCATTTTGATGGTTTGAATTTCTGTTCTAGGATGAAAATAACATTTTGGGTTTGTGTCAGGTATTTGGTCCCAGTGATGCTGTTGATTTTGTTCAGAAGTTGTTGAATGTAAGAGCTTGTTTGTCTTTTTTTGTTCTTTGGGACGACTAGTTAGAGTTACTGGTGTTTTTTATTTGTGACTTGACAATTGCTACATTTGTGAATTGCATCATACATGTTAGGGTTGCATGTTATCAAATTAAATAAGTTCTTTCTGCTATGATTTCAACAAGCTTGTAAAAAACGGTCAAGTTAAATTATCATGTGTAAAGCAATGGTAATCTGGTCAAGTTGATCAGGAAGTTTGGAATAGTACTTTTAATTTTTCCTGTGGATGTTGCTTTCTTGCATGACTAAAACTTGAATAATTGTTTTTTTTGTAGGAGGGACTATCTGTAACAGTTGTGAGCCGCCGTCTTATAAGGGAAGCTGTTCGAGAACGTCGATGCAAAGATAACTGCACTGCAGTTATCATTGTATTCAAGCGAAATTAAACCATATCCTCGTGTTATATGCCAGCTGGCTTACCAATCAAAATGACATTTGCTTACAAAGTTGCTTTCTGTAACCAATTCATGAATTTCTTATTTCCTATTACTGCATACAAGTGGTAGCACCGAACCATATCAATATTATTTTTTTATGGTACAAGTGGTTGCATGATTGATTGATGTAGTTGTAGTACATCTTGGTGTTGAAAATGTAGTAAATTTTTGTAGAATATATATGATGAGCTGAGTCAGCGGATTATTATTGTTTGTGATCCACATCCACATGTTATGCAAGTATAAACTGCAATATCAATTCTAATGATTATGTTCATTTTACCATTTAAAATGAATTGTTTTTTTCCCTCTAAAGAAAGGATATCCAATGATTAGAGTAGTTGTCAATTGCTGTACAAGGTATCTTGCTTTTTGAACTTTAACAGCAGATTAAACTGTCTATGGGCACTTGTTTTTATTTTTATCTTAAAATTGTGGCACTGTGCAATTAATTATGTGAAGAGCCCTTAAAATGATTAAATTGCAACAGGTTTTCGATTGGAACAGAATTTTAAATTTAATAAAAACTTTGTGGCTCTTTTAATTGCCGCTGCTGGTTTTGCACATGAACATTATAGATAGAATTGACTTGATGGAACTTGCTGAATAACACGAAGGCCAAATATCCCTGGTGAACTATTAAAAGGAGAAAAGATATCAAAATTAAAATATGTAACTAAAACAAATTAACTTTCTACAAAGAAACCTTTTGATAATTCTATGATTTAAGTAAGTTAAAAAGCCATAAGGAGGGTGATACTAATAGTTTGATTTTTTGGGGAGAAATTATTCCATTCCATTGTTCTTCCCCACCACAATGAAAAGTTGTAAAGTCACAACTGTCTCTAAATTCTAGAGATGAATTTTCAAACACGTATTTTTACACACTTTTCATTGTAAATTGACGTGTCACTCTTATTTTGTTAAAATGTAGTTTGCAAATGCATATCTATATTAGTATTATGGTGAGCCCGAAGAAACATCTATGTAAAACCCTTTAATTCAAAATTTAGAGAGTTTTACAGAGATGCATATTAGAATACATTTATTTCATATATCTGCACCAACACTCTTCCACCTTCCTTTTTCATTTGCAACAAACTCACTAAAACTCCATTTGAACTCGTGAGCAAGTTTCTTTAAGTTCATTTTACAAGGTTAAACACTACTTCATTTGCTTCTTCAAGTTCATTCTACTTCATTTGTTGCAAAGTCACTAACTCCATTCAAGCTTTTCATCCATAACTTTAATTTGCTAAGTTTCTCATTTCATTTTCTTTTTTGATATTTGATGAATGTATTAGGTAACATAGATCATTTAGGATGCATAATAGTGCACTCGAAATAGATAGTCGGTATAAACATGCATTCCCATTTGATTGGAGTTTTGGGCATCAATGGAGTTTCTGCCATTTTTGTAACTCGCGAGTTTATCTATAATGCATCTCCGAATTTTGCCTGAACTGGTTTATGGAGATGTATCTTTGGATTTGGCCTGACTATATTTTGATGTGATTTTCAGGTTTTATTACAAGTGCAGTGACTGAAAACAACCAAGACAAATTCAGGCCCGACCATGTGTTCCAACACGTGTCTCTACGACATGAGAGGACTAGGGTAAGGGCCACAAGTCGACGCTACCTCGTTTGATGATTCACAAGGTTGAGGATTACAACCATCTGCTTTTAGTTCTCAAAGCCGTATGTCTCAAGCATCTACTTCACGAGAAGCCTGTTGAATGCCAAACTTGCTTTAAATTGATCCTTAATTATTGGTATTTTCAACGTTTTTGTTATGTTTTGTTGGATTTACTCCATGATATCATGCTATTCTTCAATATTGTTGAAAATACCTTTGGTTGCTTTGATTTTGTGTTATTGTGCAGAAATTAGGCATAAAAACATCAAAGAGTAAAACACAAGTAATTGGACAAGAAAACCAAAGAAAAAAAAGAGATTCAGCATGTTCGCTAGACGAACTGCCATCGAGGAGTAGCAACGAATGTCCGCTGGGTGAACTCATGGCGAAGCTCCAGCAAACCCTATCAATTTAGAGGCAGTAAGAAAAGGGCACTAAGTTCGCTGGGTGAATTGGTAGCGAATGTTCGCTGTGGCGAGGTCTCAGTGAAGGACCTGCGAACCATCTCAGATTTGAGGGAGTAGATAAAGGATCATAAGTTCGCTATGCGAACTTGTAGCGAGGTAGTTCGCAGGGCGAAGAGTTGCTCGCACACCGAACTTCAGATATTTCTCAGAGCGGTTTAACTATTTAAAGGCGCTTCAGGTTCCTAAAAGTGTGTTCGCTGGGCGAAAAAGGAGTTTGTTGAGCGAACTTGACAGATTCCAAAAGTACTATTCTGGACTGGGCCCAAGCCTGAACGGGTAGGCCTAGCCCCACGCTATTTGGGGAAGGCCCACCAGGCCCAAATTGCCCCGATGTCGAGCACATGTGCTCCGGTCGACCAGGACACTTCCTTCGTCGGGCAGAACAACATGTCCCCCACACGTTCTCCACGTGCTCCCCTCCGCGGGGACACATCATCGTCCTACTACCCACCTCCGAAAGAGCTGGTCAACCCACCTTCCGGAGATCACGGGACGGTTGAACTAGGGCGAAGAACACGTGCTGGTCTTCACTACGCCACATAATCCCTAGTAGTCACTTGGGTTGGGCTTGACAATCCAGCCCAACACAAGTGACCATTGGCCCTGCGCTGGGGTCTCTCTATAAATACCCTCTTTCACAAGAGGGTCAGGTATTCTCTTCTTAACCTCTCTTCTGTAATTGCTCCCACTCTGGTCCATTACTTACTTTGCCATCAGAGTCTTTTGCAGGTACACCCCTCCTTGTCCATATTCCTTGTGAGCAACTAGCAGATCAACGACGTGTGGCAGGTCATTGTTCTCCTTCTGATCAGGTCAGATCAGTGGCGCCGTCTGTGGGAAACTAAGCTTCCCCGTTCCTTCAAGCAGAGAACCAAAGCTTCCTCCTCTCAAATCTCAAGAGCATGACTAGCCCACACCACGATGAAGCTGTTCTCGGTTCTGCCTTCATGCCGGTCACCAACGGCGACAACCAGACGGAGACATCTCAACCTCGTGAGACCGATGTCAGGGACGGCCAAACGGCCTCCCCTTCATCCGAGGATGCGACACACCATGTCGTTCCTTGGGCGAGGAGCCTGACGATATTCCAGCCCATCCCCACACCGGCTGGAGCGGACCCGACGATGGTCGCTCTCTTCGCGGCCATCAACCAGACAAACCAGATGCTGTTCCAACAAATTGAGCGCATCGGCACGCTGGAACATGACACCTCGTCCCGCTCTCCTCCGCAGAGAAATCAGCGCGGGAGCTCCCGGAGCCTATTTCCACGACCACAGGGGCGTCAACCACAGCTGGAGAGGCCCCAACCAGTGGCCTCTAAGAAACGAGCAAGATCACCACCTCGGAAGAAGAGGCGGTCCTCAGAGTCAAGGGCGAAAGGGCCTGAAGCCCCGCCCAGAAGACCGAGGGGGCGTAACCCGCCTCCTCGACACGAACCGTCGCCTCCGCAATCCCCAGTTCGCAGCGACGAGGATGACTACAAGACTCCTCTATCGCAGGAAATCATGGCATCCCCCACGGGATGGAGAAACCACCCGTACTCTCGACGTACGACGAAACCTCAGACCCAGACGATCATCTGGAAGACATTGAGGCTATCCTCGACTACAGGAATGTCCGAGGATCCATCAAGTGTAGGCTCTTCCCGACGACACCGAGAAAGGATGCGTTGAGGAGCTCCATAGTGTGCTTTGGGCCTACCGAACAACGCCTCATTCGACCACTGGGGAAACCCCATTCTGACTCACGTACGAAACAGAGGCAGTAATCCCGGTGGAAATAAGAGAGCCGTCCAGAAGGACCGAAACCCCCCTTGAGGAGGAAACCAACGACGAGGCTCTACGGGAGGAGCTCGACCTAGTCGAAGAGATTCGATCGGGAGCAGCTCTCCGCGAAGCCATACTAAAACAAAAAATCTCCCTTTGCTACGACAGCAAAGTCCTAAAGCGCGAATTCCAGGTCGGCGACCTGGTCTTGCGAAGAAACCAAAAAGACTCACACGAAGGCAAACTCGCCTCGAATTGGGAAGGCCCCTATCGTGTCCGGGGCAAGACAGAGCATGATGCCTACTACCTCGAAAAGTTGCACGGGGACAAAATAGCTCGACCATGGAACACTGAAAAGCTAAAGAAATACTACAGTTAAACACTACCCTCAAGGACACTCCTCGTGACCACAAGAGCGCGAACGATCGCGTCTCCTCGGAAAGCAACGAGACGACAAGCATCTTCTCTTTGTGTGTGCAGGCAGAACGCTCTTCTCGATGAAGACCCCTCAATCGAGAGTCCCCTTCGCAGTACCAAGATCGGAAAAACACACAGCTCTCGATGGGACGTTCACGCCGCGGGGGTAGGTCCCCAACCGCGGTCCGCCTCCGTAACCGACCGAGTAACCACACCTGTCAACCGACCAGTTCCCTACACTATCGGGCACAACAATTGTCGAGCTGACACTCCCAACAAACATACAAAACAAGCGTAATAAACATACGTTACGAGCATACAAACATGCAGAAATAAAATAAGCATGCAAACATGCAAACATAAACGAGCACACACTTAACGAAAATACTGTATTATAAAGAGGGGCACCAACCCAATATTCAATTACATTAAAAAAGGCACGCAGGCCCGACAAAAGTACTTAGCAAAAGACAACAAAATATTAGCACACAGGCCCTGAAACTACGAGCACACAGGCCCGGGAAACATCTACACATCCTCAGAACCATCCGCCTCGCGCTCGTCGGCAGGAGTGGCATCATCAGCATCTTCACGATCAGGGGCGACCACCCGTACATCGACGATCTGGTGGAAGGGCCCGATCCCATTAACGACCAAATTG